GATGTGAACAAACATTTCACCAAAGATAGTTATTTAAGTTTCCTGTCAACTGGGCTGAGTCAGAATTCTCAGTGGTTTGGAAGTTAAGGCCCAGCAATCTCCAAAGATCTTACATAACATGAAATCAATTCCATAAGAGAATCTCCAACAAGTTGGAAAAAGATTAGGGTGAAGTGTTATTTTGGTCACAGTCTTGAGGCAACCAAGAGGAAGTTTCCTCAGAGGTGTGGTCTAATTGCTATGTAAGCAGACTCTGGGGAGAGCTTGTTTGCTGAGTCTGGATCCTGCATCTGGTGTGTCAACCTCCAGTTCTTCGGACTTGAGTCAATAGCCTGCTACATTGCCGGCTGATCCTGGGAGTCATCAGCAGCTTGATAGCTGACTGGTCGACACTGCTTTCATTCACCACTCCAGTCACAAGCCTGATCTGGTGATTCATCGGCCTCTGCATTCACCAGCCTGTGAATGCAGGCTGTGCATAGCTTAACATATGACCCATGGACTTAAACCAGTTTGGACTTACGCACTTCTACAATTGTGTGAGCCATTTTCTTGATATAAATTTCTGTCTTTAATGTAAATCAATCACTGGTTTTACTTCTCTAGAGAACCCAGACTAACACACATTAGATATTACAATCTTTACCTTTGTTGCAAATATATACATGAATGCGGTAGAGTATACAGGGGGAAGAGTTATGAAAATTTCTTAGACATAATCAAACATCTTGATGGAAATGTGTTGCTGGCCCTAGGGGATCAGTCCAACAATGTGTAGCAACACCAAGGTCAATTGGCATAACTCAGTACATGAAGACAATGCTCTACCTCCTACTTTGGTGAGTAATGTCTGAAGTCTTGAAATCACATGAGCAGACAACTAAAGTACAACTTTTGATCTCCCCCCATCTTGAGGAAAAAAGGATGAAAATCAGAAGGCATAAGGAAACAATCTGTCCAGGGGACTAGTGGACCATGCAAACATCAGTCTCTTCAACCCTTAGATCAAAATAACTAGATGGTACCTAGCGACCGCTACCAACTATGCTGAAAAGAGTCACATTAGAAGGTCCTGGGGAAAGTAGACCAAAATGTAGGAGGAAAAAAAAACACAAATCTGAAGAGATCAGGCTTGTTGGTTGAATAGACTGGTGGGTCGCCAAAGACTCTGGCTGTTAGTCACCTTTCAAGGCTGGAACTGACCTCACTCCTATATTAGAATGATCAACCACTAAGATCAAATGGGCTTCGTTTGCCCAAAGCCAAAATTCAGAAGGTTGGAAAAGAAGAAGGGATAGAAACTGGAATCAGGGAGGAATGAAGTAAGTGCATTGAGGGGATTACAATGGGCAAGTTGAAACAAACCGTGTATGAATTATTGAATGGAAAACTAATGATCTGCCCAGTAAGCCTTCACCTAATTCACAATGAAAAGTTCATGAATAAAGTGCTATGCTGCTAGCCCAGAGGTGGGAGGAACAAGTCCAGCCAGAGGTCCCTGGGAAGAAGGGCCAGCAGGAGATTGACTTCAGAAACATCAACTATTGAAAACTGTGAAACAAAGCACTACTCTGACACACACGAGGTGGCCATGAGTTGGAACCAACTCGGCAGCTGCTGGTGGTTCCCATCTGGGCAAAAGTTATCCCAATCCAAAGCAAGAACCACAAAAAGGAGTCTCAACTCCCCTCAAATGTATAACTTGTGATAATTCTGTGTTTGAGGGGGTGAGTTAGTTAATTGTCCCAGCCTGGCCGATAATCACATGTGGTGCTGGTTGAAAGGCGGAGGGATAAATGGGTGGTGAAGCCTCGCCTTTCTAGTTCTCGGGTCTCTTGTTTTGTGATGGTTGCATCGGGTGCAGCTGCCTTAGCAGTTCCCTGCTTCAGCTTGCAAGATGGATTTCCTACAAGACATCCCCAAGGAGAAGCTGCATGGATCTATCCCGATGCAGCCCTGGGTGCTGGAGCAGCCATGTGGAGACCCTTGCCAGTGCTGAGATGCTTACACGTTCACTGACTCAGCTTTCCTCCTGCAGTCGGCATTATTGCCTCTGTTTTGTGAGGTGAAGGACTTTGTAGACTGGTGTTGGGTATGGGTTAACGTTGGACTTGCGGGCTTGGGCAGCATTGGGTTGGGATGTTTTCGTGATGCACATTTTCTTTGCATAAAACTCTCTCTTATACGTGAGTCGCCATGGATTTGTTTCTCCAAAGTACCCAGACTAATACAGGGGGCTTCAAAATGTTTGGGGGTAATGGAAATAAAAGATACTGGACAATTGCCATAAACTTTGGCACCCCCTTATATTATTTACTGTAACAGGTCACTGAGCTGATAATCTTAATGAAAAAAAATGACCCATCTTTTGTCTCTATTGTGTGTCTTGGAGACAGCAGCTAGCTTGATAGAAATTTCAAATGCACCTGCCCTCAGAGGCACAGTTCTACCATTGGGGCAAATATGCTTCTCTCCTCCTCAACTCTTTATTACTAAAAATGTGAACCATGCATAACATTTTTGTTTTTTAAAGATCATTTTATTGGGGACTCTTACAGCTCTTATAACAATCCATACATCAAGCAAATTTGTACCTATATTGCCATCATCATTTTCTAAACATTTGCTTTCTATTTGAGCCATTAGTCTGAACTCCTCTTTTTGTCCCTCCCCGTACATAACATTTGGTAGACTAGTACATTGATCATTTGTCTATCACCTGGAATCAAGAAAACACTGTGGTAACTATATACATGTTTGTCTCAGTGGAGTATGTACCTCCCCCACCTGCAGACCCAGGTCCCAGGTTCCCGCCACCCCCTCCCACCCATCACCAGGACTCACAGGTTGGCCAGGCCCGCCTTCCGCACAGCCGAGGAGATGGCCTTGATTGCTGTCAGCATGGAGTTGAGCAGCTGGGTCATCTCCCCTGTACCTTTGGCCTGCCGACCCTTTTCCATCACAAAGCGAGTTAGGGTGAGCATGTCTGTCTCAAAGGGGCTTCTGTCTGTCATTTTGGCAGGTGATTTCCCAAATCTGTAATCCCTGCAAGGAAACCTTGTTTATCTCTAAGGGCTGTGGCTCCGCACTGTGAAAGCAGAGGAGAAACCCAAGCGAGGAGCTTTCAAAAAAAGTGGCCCAGCCCACGTGATTGAAATGACTGGACAGCCTCAAGGACTTCTTTGGCATCCCTGAGAGTGGAGGCTGCCAAGGCTCCCACAGCAAGCTGGAAATAGAACTGTCCGGCCCAGAGACCAAAAACCACTTTCTCTGGAAAGACCTAAGAAGCAACAGAGGTGTAACAGGTAGGAGATGAGAAAGCCAATTGGCCTAGAAGAATCTAGGTTTGGTTTTTGAGTCTTTGAAAGAATGCTTTACGGGGTTCCATCACAGAACTCAGTCTTTCTTGGCTCTAAGTGGCAGATGGCTTGCCTGGGCACAGACCATAATGGCAATCCTGGGCTCTCTCGATTAGGGTTCTTTTGAACAAGTTTAAAAGGATGCTTTATGGTTTTACACACCAACATGTACCACTTTCATAATAAATAACCAAATCTGGAAGAAGGGGAAAATTCTATTCTTCTCACAGCACTAAGCACCACAGTTTTGTTATCAGTTTCTCACGATTTTCACTTTTGTAGCAAAAATGATAAAAGATAAAATACTAATACTACCAGAACTCTTCACCACCAGCCCTGTCCTCTCTGTCTTCTCCCTAAACAAAAACAACTTCCGTTAGAGCCAGTGGAATCTCGGTATTGCTAATACTCATTGCTAGCTAGTTGATAGGACAGGGTAGACCTGCCCTGGCCAGTTGCCAAGACTGTCACTCTCTACAGGAGCAGAAAGTCTCATCTTTCTCCCACAGGTGACTGGTGGTGACAAACTGCTAGCCTTGCACCACCAGAGCTCCACCAGCATCGCTGATAGATGCTGGTAAAATGCCCCAAACCAAATGCACTACCATCGAGTTGATTCCAACTCATAGCAACCCTGTAGGATAGAGTAGAACTTCTCCCTGGGGGCTCCGTGGCATCGTTGGTGGGCTTGAACTGTCAACCTTTCACTTAGCGAGCCGCTGAGCTTAACCACTCTGTCACTAGGCTGCTTCACTTGTAAATAGGGGAACCAATAAACTATGTACCTTGTAGAATGGTTGTGAGGATTAAAAGTGATAAGACTATGTGCCTAATCAGCATAAATTGCTTTTTAGTGTCCTTTCAAATTCTTGGATTTACTTGTATGCCATTCATTGCACTTTGCAAATATTTTTGTTTTTTACAACAGAAAGTTTGTGGTGACCCTTCACTAAGGAATTCCATCAATGTCATTTTTCCAACAATGTATGTGCTCACTTCCTGTCTCTGTGTCACATTTTGGTCATTCACACAGTCTTTCATACTTTTTCAGATTATTATCATGCATATAATATACTGCAGTGTAGTATAAACATACCTTTTATGTGCACTAACCCCCCAAATTCCTGTGACTTGCTTTATTTTAACATTCACCTTATTGCTTTACTTCCAAGGTATGTGATGAAGCTGAAAGACTATAGCCTTTGGGATGTCACTCGATGTAAAGAAAACAAAAAGCCTCACAACTGGACCGAAAGATATCAAAACAAACAGGCAAAAATCCTGAAGTTGCAAAGGGTTTCATTTTACTTAACTCCACAATCAATACCCATGGAGGCAGCAGTCAAGAAATTAAATGACCTATGGCATTGGGCAAATCTGCTGGGCAAGCCTTCTTTCAAGTGTGAAAGAGGTCCCTCTGAGAACGAAGGTGCACCTGACCCAAGTCTTGGCATTTCCACAGTGAAAGCTGAGCAAGGATTACACCAGAAGATACATTTGAGTTATGGTGCTGGCAAAGAGTACTGAAGTCCCATGGACTGCCGGAAGAACAAACTAATTTGTCTCAGAGGAAGTACAGCAGAATGCTCCTTAGACAAAGGGACACTTTGTCTCACATAGTTTGTTCACATTATCAGGAGAGACCAGTCCCTGGAAAAGGACATCATGCTTGGTAAAGCAGAGGGTCAGTGAAACAGAAACATTCGCAATGAGATGGATTGGCACAGGGGCTGGGGCAGTGGGCTCAAGCACACCAACTGTGCAGACACCACAGAGCAGGGAGGTTTCAGTTTGCTGCACGTGGGGTCACTGTCTTAGAGTAGGTGCCGACTCCATGACCTGTACCCACAAAACCTGACAACATCCGTGTTCTTAATGGCACAGAAGGTTTGTGCTTGACTACTAACTTAAAGGTTAGCTGTTCTAACCCATCCAGCGGTACCACAGAAGAAAGGCCTGGCGATGTGCTCCAGGCATGATTGAAGCCATGAACACTTTACGGAGCAGTTATGCTCTCTCAGGTTTGTTTGGGTCTTTTTGTTTATGTTTGTTTTATGGCAATTTTGTTGTTGTTGTTAATGTATTCAGTTTATTTTTATTAATTTTTTTAATATGAAAGGGCTTCAAAAGGTTCACAATGGTAATTTAAAGATAATTGAATTTGTTCTTGAACTTTTTAAAGCCCCCTGGTGATAAGGCATTTAAACTGAAATGAAATGACAATTTAACATTAAACAATTGGGGTTTGTGTTTTGTGTGCCAATTTTTTTAAGCAAACAATTTCCCAGTGATTCTTTTTATTCTGCTTCACAAAATTATCTGTTCACAATAGATTGAAATAGAAATAGAGACAAAAGGAAGCATTTTAGACCAGACAGGGGGACATGGAGGAAGTTCAGAACGAGAAGAGACCAGATGATGTGGGACCCAGGATGGGACGTGTTGCCAGCAAGCCCCGTAAATGGGGAGGGAGGATTTGCTCTCCCTGCCACCATCAAGCTCTGGATATCAACAAGTTCAGCAGTTGTACCCCATTTGCAGCTACGTTTAGATGCTAAAAGTTCGAGTTACACACACGTCTGAAATTGCAACTGGTGACCTTTCAGCAAATGCCAACATTCTTGTAGGGCATAGGCCAGGACAGATTTTGCAGGGCAGCTGTGGTGAAAGCCCAGAGGAAAGGAGGCAACTTCCCTCTCACATCTATTTCAGCGCCACCAAATGTGGTGACCACACAGCTATTTATGGCCTTTGTGAGCATGCCCACAGCCCCAAGTCTAAGTGAGGCAAACTGACCTCCACTCTTGAGTCAGGGCCTTCCATCCAAAAACTGCAATCTAGAATGTGATTCTCAGATATCAGCTGAGGAACCGTTCTTTGTTAGCCAAACTCTGCTAAATGCTTTATATAACCCCGTTATGTGAACCCAGCATGTTAGCTACCTGTCCCTCCCCTCCCCTCCTCCACCCCCCCCACCCCCATCCCCCTGTAATCTCAACCTCTCTGTGTCTCTATATGGTCGCTGTGAGCAGCAGTCGACTCCATAGCAGTGGGCTTGGGCTTTGTTGTTATTCAGCATCTCTTTGCACAGTAAGGCAGACATTTGGAGGGTACTGGTTCAACCTGTGGGGATCCCCATCTGTGGTAGTTATATAATCTGTTGTCAATTTGAGAGTGAAGGCGTAGAGTCTAGCCTGTCAATCAGGGAGTAGCTTGATGACCTCATTTGGAGGTGCTAAACAGCAGTTCTCAACCTGTGGGTCGTGACCCCTTTGGGGGCCAAATAACCCTTTCACAGGGATCGCCCAATCCATAACAGTAGCAAAATTACAGTTATGAAGTAGCAACAAAAATAATTTTATGGTTGGGGTGTCACTACACAACATGAGGAACTGTATTAAAGGGTCGTGACATTAGGAAGGTTGAGAACTACTGCTCTGAGGAGATATATAGCTCCCCAGAGGCAGGACACAGACCCACTCCCTGGGAAACATTACAGCTGACAAGACACATGGAGCTAGGCTAATGCCCTGAGCTGGAGGAGCCATGTGGATACTCATGCCAGTGCTGAGATGCTTACAATGCCACTGGATCCACAAGACTTTCCACTTCTACTTTCCAAATAGCCTGGGCTATTTCTGCATTTGGCATCATTGCATGGCTGTATGAGTCTGAAGAAGAATTTATGGACTATTATCGACATACGGGATAATATTGGACTTATGGACTTGATCTGGACCGGACTGGAAGGTTTTCCCAATATTCAACTGCTCTTGTCTATAAAACTCTCTTATACACATGAGTGTCTCTGTGAATTTATTTCTCTACTCTACCCAGACTAACATACCATTTTTTGACCCACATAATTTTATTTCATTCTGACAATAAATCTAATAACTTTGAGGTACATATATTAGAATAATAAGAAAATATATTTTTGAAGCTTTTTGTGTGGTGATCCCCATCTTAAAGAACAGTTCACTCTGCTTATATGAGGAAAATCCAAGGCGACATTGTTGTCATGTGAGCCTGGCTCCTGGCTGCAATGAATTGGAGTAGACACTTGACACTAGATTAACTTGATATGCCCTCTCCGAGGAACTTGGTTTGAGACAAGGAAACAGACACTCCTGAATTGGATGATGATGCTGCCGAGAAGAGGGGAATGGGCCTAAGGCGGGATAAACTGTCCTTTATAATATGTGCTGCATTTCAAAGGAGTTCACGGAATCTTTCCAGCAAATCCCCTTTCTGATTAAACTAGGATGAGCAAATTAAGAGTGAAAATGGCCTGGACCATAAGCATCACTGCAATGAACACTTTGCATCTTAGGAAGCTGAGGCTCAGAGACCTTAACTACCCGCTTTAAGCTCAGCCTTGGTCAGGATAGCCCAGGGTATGTTGTATTAGAGAAAACCAAAAGCCAAACACATGGAGGTCAAGTCAATTATGACTTCCGCAACTCTGTAGGACAGAGAACAATTGCCCCACAGCCTTTCCAAGTTTGCCACCTCTATGGGATCAGACTGCCACATTGTTCTTCTCTGGAATGGCTGGTGGGTTTGAACCACCATCCTTTTGGTTAGTACTCAAATGTTTAACCAGGAGAGCTCCCTTTGTAGTAATGAGTGAGTCCCCAAACTGACAGGATGCCGGGCGGACTTGTGACCATACATTCAGAAGCAAACCTTTATTGTGCAAAGTTCCTGGGATTTGTAGCTATGA